GAGGAACATCTTCATCTCAAATAAGGCCATTTCCAATGGGGAAGGCCAAATGTCAAATTTTAGCAATATAGCCTGGATGGAGCCCCCAACGTATGTATAGGGCTAGGTGAAATATCAATCCAGTCTATATATTGGGTGGAGTAGTAGTCCACCTTTTGTCTGGACTGCACATCCACATAACAGCCCGTGGCCATTCATGCAATGGACATTGACTTATTGCGTCCCATGCCATCGGCACTTACCAAGAAAGACATGATGATCGTCACCACATACTACTTTACTAAATGGATCGAGGCCGGAACTCTATCTTCTACTTAAGAAGCCGATGTGGAGTGATTTGTCTGGAAGAACATTATCTGCCGGTTCGGCTGCCCATAGTGGCTGGTCACTGACAATGGATCACAGTTCATTGGCAGGAAGATCACAGCATTCTTTGCAAAGCATGGCATCAAGTAGCACCAGTCAACTCCTAGATATCCGCAAGGCAACTACCATGCACAGGTATCTAACAAGATCGTGTTGGATTGTCTGAAGAAGAGACTGTAAGGCACTGAAGGAAAATGGGTTGATGAGCTGCCTAGAGTCCTATGGGCCTATCACACCACCAAAAGAAGATCAACTGGAGAAACCCAATTTTCCATCTCCTACGGAACTGAAGCAATCATTTCCCTTCATACCACTTTCCATTCATGAGCACTAAGGTGGGTAGCTTGGATCAGAATTGTGGGCAGATGGAGGTCAACCTCCACCTACTTGAGGAAGAAAGAGAAAAGGCCAATGTTCGAGTTGCAGCTTATCAACAGTAGTTGACGTTCTACTACAATAAAAGAGCTAAAGTCAGCCAATTCCAACCTGTGGACCTTGTGCTTAGAAAAGTCTTCATTACCCAGTTGTGAAGGCCCTTACGTGGTCAACCAGTCTGGGGGTAGAGGAAGCTATACGCTAGATACCCTTGAAGGCAAGGAAGTTCTAAGATAGTGGAATGTCCATCACCTCCGAAGGTATTACCCATGAAGCTCCGGCTCACCTACAGTTCAAGAAGAACGACATTTGATGTAATTTCATCTATTTATTTCCATTCAATGAGGCGACGTAATCACACAAGCACCAATGCAAGTTTAAGTTTTCATTAAACCAAGAGTCTGAGAGAAGATCCAAAGCGTCCTAAGGGAGACGCAAGAAGAAGTCCAAAACGTCCTAAGGGAGTCGTAGGACAACTGCCAAAACATCCTAAGGGAGAACCAGCGTTTATATATAGATGTAGGAAGATCTGTTTGGGAAGTAAGAAACCCTTTGACATCTCTTCATCTGCAAAGAATTCTCAACTGCCAAAACGTCCTAAGGGAGACGTAGGCCATCGGCCAAAACGTTCTAAGGGAGACATAGGCAACCGTCCAAAACGTCCTAAGTGAGACGTAGACAATCGTCCAAAACGTCCTAAGGGAGACGTAGGAGATCTGCCAAAACGTCCTAAGGGAGACGTAGGTAACTGCCAAAACATCCTAAGGTGGATTTTCATATTTTAGTGAAAAATAATATAATGGTGAAGAATGATTATGGGTATTTTATCAAAAGATTTTGGATTGAGATTATTAAATTAAGTATGTTTAATTTGAAGTTGGACAAAAATGACCAAAAAATACCCCTATGTGTGAAAGATTACCAAAATACCCTTGTAGATAATAACCACACAAAAAAAAAAACAAAAAAAAACAAAAAAAAAAGGAAGGAGGCAACGTGTAAGCCAAGCTTCTTCCCTCCTTCATTCCTTCCCCCTTCCCTCATACAATCCCTTCAAAAAAATCTGGTTTTGATCTCAATTTGGATGAGTTGTAAACCTAGGATAGGTGAGTCACCTAGTCTAAGCTAAGAAAATTAATTGCTTAAACTAAGATAAATTTTTGGGATGAAAGAAATGGAAGTTGGGGTGAGGAAGAAAGGAGAAGATAGAAGGAAGAGAAGAAGAGAGTTTCTAAGGTGAGTTGGTTTCGAAATTTCTGGTTTTAACCTTGTGGTTGTGTGATTTTAATCTCTTAAAGAATAATTTGAGTCATATGAATGTTAGGAAGATTGATTTGGAAGAGGGTGAACCTCTATTTTCGGATTGGGTGTATAGAGCATTTTTTTTTTCAACTATGGGTGTTGTTGATTTTGGTTTCATTTTGAGTTTTGATGAGTTCAATTGATAGGTATGAAGTTAGAAGAGTTTTAGAAGCCTTAGGAACCACTTGGGGTGTTAGAATGCGTGAAAACAACTTTGAACAAAAATCTGGAAAATGTCATTTTCTGGAAATTTTCAGGCCACGAGCCTCACTTTGGATCTCTGTTTCTCCCAATATTTTGAGTTTTTGAGGAAGTAATTTGTTGGATTTTAAACTAGACATGGCAAGGAACAAAAAAAAATTATTTTCGTCGAATTTGGTTGAGTTTTGATAGGTTGAACACTTGTGCAAAGTTTGGAATAAAGTCTGTTTTCTGCAAAAAAACCAGCAACGAGTCCAACTTTGGAGCTAGTTTTCTCCTTCGTTTTAGCTCCGTTTTGAGTGTGGTTTGTTGGGTTAGAAACTAGAGAGAATAAGCTTCAAAACCACTATAAGTTTACCCATTTTTGTTGACGTATGGTTGGTCAAAATGCCTCACAAAATCTGGGATTAAATCTGGAAAACAGGGGAAGTTGCAGGATTTCTTTTTGAAGACGATAAACAGTAACCGGAGCAAGCCCACTCGCGGCGCCGGCAAGTGGCGGCTGTTCCGGCAGCCTCCGACGCCATATTTTTAGTCCATTCGACTCTATTTTTCGATCCGAGTCCAATGGTATATGTTTTGAGTCAATCCCAGGTGGTGCAAAGTATGAGTTGTTATGGGTCCCACACCCAAATTGTAACTTTTGGATAACGGGTGTCGTTGGCTTTGTTTCGGTGTTGACAGGGCATAAGACAAAGTTTTAGATTATTTTGGACGAGATTTGGCCACTTTGGACCCCGGGTCGGTCCTAGGGGCATTTTCGTTATTTTCGCCCAAAATCTTTGAAATGCACAAGGTTGAGGTTGGTCTTAGGTGAAATAGCGTGAAGATTGCTCAATAATAATTTGGATTTGAATTTGTTCAGGAATTGGATCAAAAGTGTAGATTCGACAACTCCGAGAACTTTCGAAGGGTAAATTTGGTACTTTAGCTAGCTGGACTTGAGGTAGGGTTTCCTGATTCCCCAATGATTAGACTATATCACTTTTAATCTTGGTGCTTATACATAATACTATAAATATGAATATTATTGTTGCTTGGCTCGATGAATATTATTTGATGTTATGTGAATATTATTATTAATCTTTTTCTGTGGATATCATTTAATGTTATGTGAATATTATTATTGATCTTTCTCCATGGATATTATTTGACGTTGAGTGAATATTATATTGCATGTGATTAAGCCTAGAATATTATTGTTATTATCTATATTATTATTCTGCAGAGATAAATGATGTTTGCGCTGCATTACATATGCATCATAAAGACAGTGGTGTTTGGGGTGTGTATGTGTCGTTTGAGGTATATCTAAGGGGTGAGAGAAGGCCTTAGATATATCTAAGTAAATTAAATGTGAAATATATTCAGGTGACGGGAGCAGAGCTTGAATATATCGAGGTGATGGGAGCAGGGCCTCTAATGAAAAGTGAAAGTTGAGAAATTCGTAAACAAAAGAAAAATGGGTTAAGGGACGGATGGGCGCTAGTTCATATTTTAGGGTATTCGGAGCCACAGTGGTAAAACGCATGGTATGGGACATGCAGGCTTGTTGCCCTAGGATATGAATTAGTGGGATTAGAAGGGAGTGAGTTCATGGCATCACCGCATATGCAAATTTATTTATCTGGTATGATTTCATAATTTGTATATCTTGTGTTGTTTGATGCATGACACTTTGATTAACTGTGATAGCTGACCTTAAGGGGTTTGATGGTACTCTACTGGGCATTAGAATGCTCATACCTTAATAGATTGTGCAGGATTAAAGAAGAAGTTTGAGGAAGCGGGTTCAACTAAGCTGCTGGGCTTTTATTGTTGATTTGTGTAATTAATTTTTGTAAGTAGTCAACCGTTTGTTAAAGATCCTAGTCTGTAGTTAACTACAAGCTACTGCGACTCTGATTTTGTGATGTTAAGTAAATTTGTATTATTTTTGTGGCTCTATTTCTCATCATGTCATGGTTGTAGGATTTTATTCTTATGACTATGGTATGACTCACACCATGATTCGGGAATATTCCTTATTTTCGAATCGGGTCGTGACAACCAACCACCAAAATGTCTTAAGGGAGACGTATGCCATCTGCCAAAACGTCCTAAGGGAGACAGGCAACCGTGTAAAACGACCTAAAGGAGTTGTAGGACATTAGCCCAAACATCCTAGGGGAGAGATAGCAAACTGTCCAAAACGTCCTAAGGGGGATGTTGGACATATGCCAAAACGTTCTAACGGAGACGTAGGGAACCCCAAAAACATCGTAAGGGAGACATAGGCATCCGCCAAAACGTCCTAAAAGAGACATAGGTAACCATCCAAAACGTCCTGAGGGAGATGTTGGACATCTACCAAAACATCCTAAGGGAGACGTGGGCAACTGCCTAAACGTCAAGTATGCAAGGGCTCCAATTTGAAATGAAAAGAAAACAAAGTGGCAAGAGTTTAGTGTTAAAAAAAAAAGTACCCGTTCAAAACCCCTGAATCAAATTTATAAGCTTCTACTATTGATACATCAACACAGCAAGAGTTCTTTTTATTTTACCCGTGAATGAGAAATTCCATGAACATGCTAAAATGCAGAAACTGAAACCAAATAGAGCATCCAAACTAATCTAGGAGCCCAACACTAATCTAGACACCCACACGAAAATCAACTACCCAAAAAGCCAACATCAGAACCAGGAAAATAAGTAGAGAAATGCTCCACAAGTGCTGGAGTGTTTAAAAAAAAATTGCAAAAGTTGCTGCCTCATCATCACCTAGCTGACAGAGTACATGTCAGCTCCATGTTAGAACATGTTTGGTGCAAATTATCATGAATATCTACAGGCATCTCTTGTGGGCATAGAAAAGGCTTGGGAGGCATTTGAAGGCTTTCAACATCTCCTTCGAGCATCTTTATAACTTCGTTCATTGCCGGACGATCACTTGGCTTCATTTGAATACACCACAAGGCAGTTATAACCATCTTTTTTACGATTTTCTTTTCTAACTCTGTTATATCCTCCAACTCCAACTCCTTTCCCTCCTTATACTGATCGTACACCCATGAGGGGAAGTAAATTTGGCTTGAATGCTCTGCACGTGCATATAAATTCTTTCGTTTGCTTCGCATTTCCATCAATAGCTTTTCAAAACTATAGACATCAGCTTTGTATGAGACGCCACCAATATTTTTGTAGAACAACTCAGGAGCCATGTAACCCATTGTTCCCCTTGCTGCCGTTAATGAGACAATACTGTTATCCGTCGGATATAATTCCGCAAGCCCAAAGTCAGAAATCTTTGGAACGAAATTTTCATCAAGAAGGATGTTATGAGGCTTGATATCAAAATGTAAAATTTGCATGTCACAACCATGATGTAGATATTCAATCCCTCGAGCTACTCCAAGCGAAATATCATACATTTTCTTGTAACTTAGCAAGTTACTCCCTTCTTTGGAATAAATGTATTTATCAAGAGATCCATTTTGCATGAACTCATATACTAAAGCGCGCTTCGAACCCTCAACACAATAACCAACAAGTTGCACCACATTAACATGGTGAATCCTTCCAATGGTAGCTACCTCACTAATGAAATCTTCCCCATTAGCTTTGGACTTGCCCAACATCTTAATTGCTCCAAAACGGCCGCTGCGTAGTTTTCCTTTAAATACAATTCCAAAGCCTCCTTCACCTAACTTATTCTTGAATTTGTTAGACATCTTCTTAATGTCCGAGTAAGAGTACCTTATCGGCAGAAAGTTGTTATCACTATGCAGAAAATCTTCGATCGTGCTATACATTGATGAATGTCTTTTCCGCCATGTATAGATCAAAAACGCAATCACAAATGAAGCCCCAAGTATAAATTGTACCATGAAATGTGGTACTGCACAAGAGCATTACCAAAAATCATGAGAAAAGAAAACTGACTAGCTTTTTGATGCACTCTTTCACACTTTATCACATCCTTTATGTCTATCAAATAGCTATGTAAATTATTGTGCAACTCATCATCTTCCTTTTTCGAAATCAATATAGGGTGATGATTTTGACATTCTATATTTACTCGTAAATTACCATTATGGGCTCTTCATATGTGAGTGGTAAAGGAGTGTAAGAAGTGAAATTTGAATTGCTAAAACAAAAGCACGCTCTTACCGAAGATAATGGGTATTATTTCCATTAGTCGCCATACACGACCTGCAAGAAATATGACAAAAGTCGACAAAATCAATCAAAGACTTGACAATGGGTATGTTTGGAAAAAGAATAAAGTAAAATAAATAAAAAATACAGTGTTGAATAATTAAAGAAATAGAAGCTGTTACCTGAGCTATATTGTAGTGCCACATAATCTGCAAAAAATACAACAAAAGTTAACATAAAAATTCGTCTTTAGTTTTAAGGGAGCTTTAGTTTTAAACCATAATATAGTTTGCTAATTTGGTAGAAAGAATACAATTTCATCTAATTAGCAAAAGGCCAAAAATCAAAATGTAATGCCTAAGTTTACAAAAATATCATTAAAAAAAATGAAAATTACAACATATGCCATTTCAGTATTTAGTTTTAAACCAAAGCTGGAAAAACGACATCAAACCCAAAACTGAAATAGAAACGACATATAAACCGAAACCGAAATTGAATCACAACCCATTCGCGCGACCTTTCAACTTCACCTCCAAAAAACCTCTTCAACTGTTCCACAAAAATCCCCAAAATCTCAGCCAACGGCGACGACCATCTCAGATTCCTAGTCTTCACTCTCACTTTCGGCAAAAAAGTGTAAGGAATCAACTCTCTGATACCTAGTCTTAATTTTTCGTTCTGCAATGTAGTTTAGGTTTTGGGTTTTGTTTTCGTTTCGTTTTGGTTTTCTGCATCTCAGATTCCGGTTTGGGGTTTCGTTTTCGTTTTCGTTTCGTTTTGGTTTTGGTTTTGGTTTTGGTTTTCTGCATCTCAGATTCCGGTTCGGGGTTTCGTTTTCGTTTTCCTTTTGGTTTTCTGCATCTCAAATTCCAGTTTGGGGTTCCGTTTTCGTTTTCCTTTTGGTTTTCTGCATCGCAGTTTTCGTTTTCGTTTTGTGTTTTGGATTGCTCATATTATATGTCTATTATGTTTGCTGTTTTGCCTTTTGGATTGCTCCTTTTAAAAGAGGGTTTTTTTGCATAGATCATTGCATTGCAGAAACACAAACTGCAGTGCAGTTTCTGTTTTCTTTTTTCTTTTTTCTGCTCAACTATTTATACTTCTTCCTTGTAGTTTATCTTTACTTGACCTAATAGTGTTTTCATCCCTTCTTGTTTCAGATCACAAATGGCACAAGAAATGACACCACAAAAGAATGAAGCTCAAAACCAACGAAAGCCAAGAATCAAAACGATGGCTCAAAAGAGAAAACCAAAGCCATCCTATGATCGAAAACCAAAGCACCCGGACTATGTCCAGTTTCGGTGCAGCCTCAATGCTTTCAACATCATCATTACAGATGTTAAACCAAAGCTCAATCAAAGGCAGAAGATGTTGCTCAAGAAAACCCCCTTCTGGAACTTCATTGAGCTGTTTTACCACCAGAAAATTGATATGAATAATATGAATAAGTCGGACCTCGACTTAATACAGCTGCTGAACCAGTTTGATCCAGATTCAAAGTCCTTTAAGTTCGGCACAAAATCATTCCACATCACAGGAAATGCAGTGACTCAGAGCCTAGGACTGCCAAACAAAGGAGAATCTGTCACACTTGGCTATGATAGATACACTGCTGCCTTCAGAACAAGGCACTTTGGACAAAAGGGAAAACCATCAAAAAAACCAGGTAGAAGTAGAATTACAAAAAACAATTGCCTTGGCAAACCAGCCGAAGAAAGAAAAGGCCAAGGCAGAGCAAAAGAAGCAAAAGAAGAGAGGAAAAGCAAAAAAGGAAGCTGAAGAAGAAGGGGAAGGGGAAGACGAAGAGGAAACGGAGGTTGTTGACAGGAGGTGGTCAGTCTAATCTTGATCCTGCTCTGCATGACATTCCTCTTTGCCAACTCTTCATCCACTTTGCACTGAAAAATAGTTGAGCATTGTGTGAATCTAGACACACTTTCAAGATATTCGTGGGCAAGAGCTGTTTCAGCCTACATGAATGAATCCTTGATTGCAAAAGCAAAAGCAAAAGCAAAAAAGGGAGGAGAAGCATCTATAGGAGCTGTTTCGGGTTGCACTACCCTAATATTGGTAAGTAAAGAGTCGCTTATCAATGCATTTTGAGTTTTAGGCAATGCAGTATCCAACATAATTTATGTACTGCAGTTTTATTTTGTGAGAGAATAAACATCATACTGCCAATCCTTGGCAAGGAGGAAGAAAATCCTGCCATTCTTAAATGGAGTCTTATGGAACTCCACACAAGATTCAACCAAATAAAAGACTTAAATGACATCGAGGTATGCAATTTATCGCATGTTCTATTTTAATGTATGTTGAATGTGAATCCATGCTAAATCATTCTCATTGTACAGGGTATTTTCAAAGCCCCAAAAAAGCGAAAAACTACCGGGGAAGAGGGAGACCTTGTGGAGAAGGTAATTAAAATATGTACATAGTGCATTGCAGTTTCTCTTTTCCATTGCAATTTCTAAACCATTCTCATTGTACAGGGTGATTTGAAAACATATAAAAAGAGAAAAACCACCAGAGAAGAGGGAGACCCTCTTGACAAGGTAATTAGAATCTCTAAACAGTTTCTGTTTTTCCCATTGCGGTTCCTAATTAGTTTCATTTCAATTTGCAGAATTGCCAAATTGAAGATGATGAAGGAAAACAAGGAGAAGCAGAGCCCCCTATACCTCTTGCAATTCAAGACATCTTGGTAAAATCCATGACAGACCAAATCAACTACCGCCAACGCCAAGATCCTAGCTTCGTTTGCCCAAAAAGATTACAACTGTGGAAGGATGATATAAATAAAGACAGTGAGAAGAAGATGACGGAATTGTGGGATATATTTATCCAGGCAGAAAAAAGATCAATGGAGCTGCAAGAGGAGTTGGAGAAACACAAAGACAAATTAGATAATGAAGAATGTATAAGTGCTGCCTTGACAGTTGAATCTACATTTCAGCGTCAAGAAATACTAAATCTGAAAAGGAGAATTGCAGAATTAGAAGGCCAGAAACCTCACATTGACCACGAGACACCTGATGTTCAAGAAGAGAAAGAAGAGGAAGAGAAAGAAGAAGAAAAGGAAGAAGAAGACAAAGAAGAAGAGAAGAAACAAGAAGAGAAGAAGAAAAATGCTCAAACACCTGATGTTCCTTCAAGAATACAAAGGCTGAAGAACAGAGAAAGAAAGAGGCTTCAAGCATCTTGCTATGAGTATGAAAAAGATAAGCAACCAAAAAAGAAGGACGCAAAAAAGGGTGATGAAGAAATACCACAATTCAAGCTTATCTCTTCTGAGGAGCCATCAACACAAGAGGATCCTCTAAATCAAATGGAGGTATGCAATTACTGCAGTTCAAGCTTCCTTTTGTTCATGTTTTCTGCGTTGCAGTTTCTAATTAGTTTCCTTTCAATATGCAGTCAACACAAGAGGCATCTCAGCCTGATGCCACAAAGCCACTTCTTGATTCCCCAAAAGGAACAAACCCTCATGATTCGATACCTGTAGGTCTGCAAAACTCAGATGATGAGGCTTTGGCAAAAAAGACACGAAAAAAGCCAACAAAGAAAAAACTAGGATGGGGTCAAAAGAAGGTTTGGCAGAAAATCCCAAAAGAGGACAGGGACAAAATTGAAGAATACTACTTAAGTACTCAACCTGGGTAATATCCCTATCCCAAAAGAACAATTCTTTCATCTTTTATTTTCAATTAAACTGAAACTCATCTTGTGAATTTCATGTATTCAAATCCGCAGTAATAACTTTTGGGCAGGACTCCATTATGAGAAAGTGACAAACCGCGATATCAAAGATATTGTATGGGACCTAGAACTGTCACAAAACGTAAGTCTAAACTACTAATTCTATAACACACACTGCACTGCAGTTTTTATTTGTGCCACCTATATTACCCATTAACAAGTCCATTTTTCTCCAATCAATGTGAAACAGGTTATTGAGGCCTATATACAAATAGAGGAGGAGAAAATAGGGCCCATGCAGATAGATAGTCCACGGTACATGTCCACATGGACTTGGGTAAGAATTATTTTCAAAATTCAAAATTGTTTAAACAGACACTGCACTGCAGTTTTTGAAAAATATATACTAACAAATTGCCATTCCGCATTTTCCCACAGTCTTGTTTCCATCTCCAGACACAAAATTGTTGTCCACTTATCCGCTTCAATTCATCGTTGAGAATTCAATACCATTAATTTCTGTCGAATCCCCTCTATCATAGGTAGCACCGGCAAATCACGAAATACGCCAACCCAATTATTAAATGACTCGGCAAAACTATTTGCCATCTCTCCATAACGCATTCCTTGGAAAAAAGCGTTGGCCTAGTGATCTCTAGACAATTCATATATAAATGTCTTCACTTTCGAACTCCCAACAACCACCACCTCGTCCATTGCTACTTTAAACTCTTCCTCCGTAACAGCATATGCGCATTTACTAAAGAGATTGACAACACGGTCTTGGAGCAGTTTCCCATAACCTGACTTCGGGTACTTCGATATCAAATTCTGTTTGAGGTGATAGTAGCAGTAAGAATGAGGCCATCCAGGAAACACAGCCCCCATAGCATTTAACAAACCATGATTGCGGTCCGAGAAAAAGGTCACCATTCTCCCCATCGGAAGCAATATAGCAACCAAA